ATCACATTACTTTCTTTAAGCTTATCCAATAGGAAAACTCTCAGTTTTAACAAAAACCCTAAATTTACAAAAACAATTACTTCTCTTAAAACTTATTAATCAAATTCCATAATTATCTTCCAAGAATCATTAGGAAACATTCTTGTGAAGCGTACTTTGAAAGAAAACATTTTTGAGTGAAACCCTAACGTTCCAAAAATTCATATTTTCAAGAAATTCAACTTGCATTAAGGTTTAGAAACATCCTTTAATCATCCTCTAAACTTTTCTCAAAGAAAATCCAAGTTTTCTCTAAACCCTAGTTTTCATTCCTTAGAGAAAACTCAAGGGAAGAAGGAGAAAACTCAAGCAAAACACATACCTTAGTCTTCCCTTAGTCTCCCCTACGATTTTCCCCAAGGTTGGCCGCCGGAATCCGCCGCCGGAGCCGCTCGATCTCCCTTGCCCGTCGCCCCTACCGTCCGCTCCCTCTCGGCTTCTTTCGCTCAAACCGTGCGAATGGGGGAGAATGAGGGCTCGGTTGGCTCATAATAGGAAGATGGGGGAAAGCCAAAAGACATACATGCCCTTACTTAAACAACCCATGCTTGAACAAACCTTAAGGGTAGAATTGGCATCATGAGACTTCTCTTAATTTTAATTCCTAAATTAAGCAAAATTAAATATAAGTTCTTTACATCAAATTTCTTAGAATTTTGCGTTAAATTTTTCAAAATTATTTCCATCGAAATCCGACATCCTCGAATTTTCCACTTAAAACTCGTTGCGACACTTTGAAAAGCGTGCGAGGTCTAAAACGACATGGGTGGTGGGGCGGCGGCAATGGGAGGGATTCTTGGTTATAGGTGGTAATGGGGAAAAGTGGTGGTGCCGTCAGGTGGGGAAAGGTGGAGGGAAAGCCGGCAGATGTAGAGAGGGTGGGGAGGTGGTCGGGTGTAAGGGAAGGGGAAAAAGAAAAGATAAGCCAAGAGTCTCAGACTCTTCCAAAGACTGACGGGTATTGCACTCACCTTCACCACAGGTTCTCTTTCTTCTCTCAAAGCTCACAACACTGAAGAAGACAAAAGATCAAAAATTTCATTCATCAAATCATCCCTAATACAATAGAAGGGGCCCTATATATAGGCCTCAACATGATAAAAGAAAAAAGGACTAAAATGCCCATAGGGTTACAATAGTAAACTAACTACCCCTAGGGGTAAAATAGGAAAATTGAAATATAAAAATAAACCATACATAAATTGCATAAAAAATAAAGGCTTGATTGGGCCTTCGATCTTCGATGCCTCCTCTGATAAATGCGCCAAAATCTCTTGCTGATGTCTTCATCAGAGAAAAGACGTGATTTTATCTGTGAAGCTAAATGCTGAAGGTTTCAATGCAGAGAAGGGATATTGAGCCTTTTTGTGAGAGGGTGAAATGAAAGTGAAACCATGCAGTAAAATCTACATAAGTAGATGGGTGGCTCAACTGCGTGTATAGACAAGAGTTGAGACTTGAGAGAGAGCAAGCATCAGGATATAAGTTAGAGAGGTAGATAAGTACTAGATATACGAAGACAGAGTTGAGAGAGACATGTTAATATGGATAAGAAGAGGGTCATGCAATAGGAATGTGTGGGAGAGGAAGTCATGGTTCAACACCCAACTAACCTACATCCACACCTAATCCCCATGCGGATTTGGATTCCACCCTTCTACTTGCTACCTCATGCTAAACTTCTTTTCTCTCTAGTGTTAGGCATGAAGCCTTTACACAATCTTGTTTAAGGGCAAATGCATCTACTTCGTCATTTGGCATGAGCACATGCACAGTCCGTCTTTTATACCTAAAGCTTCACAAAGTCTCTAGAAGACATGACATGATAAAACATTATTTTAATCTCTGCAACAATAGATCGAGGATATACAATGTAAAATATCTTACAAATAATTTGTTGATTGATAGAGAGAAATTACCATAATGAAGGTACTTAAAAAATATTTAAGGATGAGCACTTGTATTGCCTCTTTGATTTTCGTTAAGTAATGATATAATTGATACCCTATTTTTATTGATTTAAAAAATGTGTTTAATACTTCATATTTCAACTCATATCCATGAGATCTTGTTTCTATCCCCACTTGTCACATTATTGTATTTTTAGAAAAAAAATTAGGTAAGCATTCCAATTGGCTTTTTTTTTTTTTTTAATCAAGGGTGTTCCCTTAAACATCTCTTCTTCAGATCTGTAATAGTCTTTTGGCTCATTTATGAAATATATGGGATAAATTTCAATCATTTAAAAAAAAATTATGATCAAAACACCTTATATTTATAAACTAATAATATAATGCATAAAAAGCATTTTAAAAATATCCCCAAAACTTCCCCAAAAGGCAGTCAACAATCCTCAATGACTAGAAATATAATCGTTGTGATTCTATCGTGTCACACCCCACGACGCCCCTTACCAAACCACGTAGGGTGCAACAAAGAAAAACATACAATTCCTCGTATGATCAAAAGCTCATAACCATTCCATTTTCTATTCATATCACATTTCACCATTTTAGTCTATAAAACGGAAGCATTTAACATTTTTTCATTTACATCATATGTATAGAATTACAGAGTAAGTAACCACCCAAATACCTTTTTATAACAATAGTAAACATACCTCTATTCAAGGCTCATCTCATACCACAATAAAACAAAACATAGTTTTAAATTGATTCGAGTCTAGTCAGTTTCCACCTTATTTTTGCTCTTTACTATAACAATAGTCAGAATAAAAATCTGATGAGCTATGAGGCTCAGAAAGATATTCAACTTCAATACAATATTCAATTATACGAAACACAATATTTACCTGTGTATTAACAAGTGCATGTAAGTAGGAAAACTGTTTATAATCTTTTAATAGTAATGACAAACCGTAGGTTATAACATGATAAGTGAAAATATTGCTACATAAGTGAGTTATGAGGAATGTTATTTTAATATTATTACATTATGGTAGCAGTATTTTAACATTAAACTACTACACTATAGGCAAATCCAACATTGTCAATTATTTTTCAAACTGCACCTCATGCATTTCCTATAGCTAATCAGAAATAAATTCCAGTTCATTTCATAGTTATCTTTTTTAGCCTTAGAAAGTGTCATGTCCACATGATTAGTTCTAGGTCCATAACTCGTAGACACCTAAGGTTGCATTGCCTTTATCGCGCGTAGGCTTCATATCATAACCCATAGGTTTTATATCATACCGATGTTGTACTGTCTCTGCTGGGTTGCATTGTCTATTAGGGTCCCATTGCCCTACTCACCTATCATCTGACATGATAAATTCTCAGACTTGTCTGATCATTACTTTTTTCATCCAAGTTGTGTGACACTTGCATAAATATTGAAACATGCATATGCGAACAAATTAATATGGTTGTCAGGTGTATCAGCATATAAGTAGGTTTGAGTATAAATCATATAATACAAATCCTCGTATTATAGAATTATAATAACAACATCATATAACAAAATCTCTTATTACAGGAAGTTAGATGTGGAATGGTTTATTGACTCATGATTTCATATTAATCCCAACATGCATGAATATAAAATATATATCACCTTCAACTAATTCAAATCTATGTATACTGATAATACTCAATCAACTTGTATATTGTAATAAAAATACTTATTTTACCACAGTGATGAGTTATTGCTTCACTTCCGACACCCGCAATTTCTTTCCGCTTATAAGTCACCTACATTATCAAAATATCTCAATTCCTACTATTTCTCCTATTTCTTTCTTTACTCATATGAAATAAATTCTATTTATTCTAAAATAATCTTTTACCTCAATATTTTCCTCTCCTCATATACCAGAAAATCCTAAATCATAATTTGACATAATCCAAATCAAGCATTTTTTTTACAAATAATTGAATATCTATAATATAAACCAAAGCTCTTACCTTTTTTCCTTCTTCCCATAACTCTCCCTTCTACCTCTTTTTCTTCTCTTACCTTGTTTAGTTCTTTGCTTCTATCCAATAGAACCGGTGAGCTTACCCTGCTGAGATCTCTATTTAAGCCCAACAGAACCTGTGAGTTTTCCTTAGCAAAAGGATTACCAAATGGACATTAGAAGAAAGAGGTACATATATTTTCCTTAAGACCTTTAGTTAGAATTAACTCAATCAATTCACATTGAAAAGATCTTGAGACAAAAACACAAGCTACGGAAACTGTAGATCTTCACTTGAGGCTTCATGAATTGTTCCACTTGAGTTCATCTCCAAGTGACAAGGCTCCAAACTAGCTTAAATGAAATCAATCTTGATTTTCATGGTTACTCTTAAATGTCTAATCTGAAAGAAAATGCTTAGCAACACCACATGATATTTATTATCACCAATTCCATGATGAGCCAGACATGAGTCACCTATGTGCGTTGATCGCAACTTCTCATTCTCTAGATCTGTTTCACACCTCGCTCAATCTTCTTTCTCAGAGAAAGAAATCCTCTCCACTGTCTGTCTTGTTACTTTCTCTTCTTATTTCTTTTTCTCATCCAATTAAAATGAAATCTCGAGTTCTTTATCTCTGACCACACAATACATCAAATATTCACAAGGAGAAAATGGAAGCATTGCATTACACTGTGCTGCATGACAGGGTCTCTTGTAGGGGCTGGTATAATCTTGCACCTTGAAAAGGTTATTGCTTTCTTGCACACCGTACGGTGATTGGCCCCTATCATTGGTTTAGAAGTACTTTTTATTTATGATTAGATGCTTACCCGAATTTAGAGCATGGGAATAATAATAAGGCAATGTGATAGTTTTGTTGATGTGATTGATCTTTATCCAGGCCATATTTACTGAATCAAGTGTTGTATTCAAACTTATGGTCCTTGGATATGTGCTATTGTCATTTGATTACATTCTAAAATTTATACTGTTTTTATGAGATGATTAATTATGACAGGAGTTTCACATGATTTTCAGGTTCATCATATTTGCAATCGAGCAACTTTTTCTAGGTTTTCAGGTTTGCATGTGGAAGGTGATTTTGTTGAAATACCCAGCCATCTTCTTGAAAATTGGTTAGTTTATGAATATTATTTCAATTTAATCATTTTACTAAAGTGCTGAATAATGCTTACCTGTAATTATGTTTAGGTGCTATGAGAATATCTCTCTTAAACTGATGTCTGGCTTTCATAAGGTGATGCTTTTCCAATCTTAAATCCTGTTTTGTTTTTTCATTCAATTTTTTAGCAGTTCTGATTAGCAATAGGATTCTGTAATTGTGATGCTTCTTGATTTAAAATTGATAGGATGATTCACATCAAATATGCATTTTAGATACATCAAAACTGTTCTCGGTATTATTATTTTGTCCAGATTATTTTTGCAACTCGTATTTATATTACAATTCTGTGATTGTGATCTTGGTTTAAACTTGATAGCAATGTCGACATGTCAAAACTAGCATGTACTTTACCTGCATCAACATTTGGAGCACATTTTCTACCCTTCTCTGTCATTTCTATTCTATGTTTATGCATTATCCGTTCAACAAATTAATTAGATACACATAATGAGTTGGAAGTGAAAAATGATGTAAAAGCCCTGCAGTTGAAATTTCATAGGGTTAGCAATTGTAAATTTATGATATGATTCTAAACAATGCAATGCATTTAATAAATCATTCATTTAAAAAATGTTTTAAAGGTATGAGTGATGTGCAGGGTTCTTTTTTTGCTTCAATTCGTTAAGTGCAAAGTGACGCGACGTTTTTACTAACAAAAATATTATATATCTTATATGTAATATATATATGGATCATGTGCATACAATTATTATCAAGATTTTAAAAATCGGACCGGACCGGCCGCTTCAACCGATTGAACCGGGATCCGGTCCGCCGGCCAATTCGATCCTCTTGCAAATCCGCTTTTGCATAAAATCGGGAAAACCCGGTTCAAACCGGCGGTTCGACCGGAAGATTGGTACTGGTTTTGGAAAACCGGACGGTTAAAAATCAAATGGATTTCAACCATTGATTTTAAATCCAACTGTTCAAAATTATATTAAACTTAAAATATATGAATAGAGCTATTTTGGCCTAGGCTATTTCGAACCTCCATTGGCGTGAGCATCCCGACTCCCACCCCATTCCCCTTCATGCTTTCGAAGTCGAACTCCACGGCTTGTCGTCTCTGGTGAAGACTTATCATCGGCGTAGGCTTCTCACTACACCTCCCCATCTCTAGCATCATATTGTCCTTCACAACGTCGGTCTCCTCACCATGGATGTAAGTTTTGTGAAACCCTAGATTTTAAATTTTAAGTGACAATTTATAACAAATTTGTTAGTTGAACCCATATTTCAATGTGTTGAACCTAGAGATGTGTGTGGTACCCATGGAATACAGAGGTTGGTGCCAGGCTCATGATTTCCTTGCCTGCATGAAATTGTAGGTCAGTGGGTTTGATGATTCTTCCTCCACTTTCTTTTTGTAAACATCCTTGCAAATTTTGTTTTTGTTGCTTGGGGTAAATTTTTTGGCTCGTTTTGAAAGATGAGAAATTGTTCAAATTTATGTTAGAGTTGCTCTTTTCTAGCATCAGTTTTGTTAATTAGTTAGTCTTGATTTAAATCTTGCCAAGTACCTATATCTTATATGTTGCACATTTTGTTTGATTGTAATGAGTTAAGTAGTTCATGCTGCATGTTTCTTTCAATCTAGCATGCAAACAAGCACTCTCGAGGTGGTCTCATCTAGCAATCCACTATGGTAGTTACTTCTTAAATCATGATTTATGGAGCCAGTTCTGTAATATCCGGTTTAAGGCTAGGCCGGTTCAACCGAACCGGCCAGTCTCTATTAAAGTAGCGACCCAGCCATTTGCGAAACAGAAGGATTTCGCAAACAGAAAAGGGCGGACGGTCGAGGGCTTCACACGAGAGTAAGCCCTCGACCAAGGTAGGTTTCGTTTTTCCAATTTTAGTGAATAATCTCCTTCGAGGATAAGAATTAACCATTTATTTTCATTCTTTATCGTTAAAGAAGTGCTAAATTGGGAGGAATTTCAATGAATGAGAGGAATGACTGAGAGGAAGAAAGAGAAGAAGGTTTATCTTTAATTCTTTATTTCTATATAAATTCTTCCATAATTCTTCATCTAAGAAATCACCTAAGCAATGGGGGTGTTTTGTTAAGGGCAAAGGAAGAGATTTGAAGAATTTAGAAAAGAAAGGAGAGGATTTTGAGTTGGAATAATCATCTTTTGTAAGTGATTTTCTTATCATATGTTTCTATTAAATTTTTTAAAATAAATCCCTAAAATTATTTTATGACAATTTTGGAAGAAGGAAATAAAGAAATCAAGTGGTACAAGTTGGGTTCTTCAAGGAATTCAATAAGGATAGAATTTTGAGACTGAGGTTGAGACAAGGATCGACGAACTGAAAGATCAAAGTGGGTAATTATGTTGTTTTATAATTTTATTCATAGTTGGAATCTTTTAAAGTAATTGATTAATTGTGTATTACATAATGTTGAAGAAATTATGATTTTATAGTTTTATCAATAAATTCATCCATTATAAATGTTTGAAAGTTTATGAAAATGAAAGGTAGTACTTATAAATGCACATGTAAGATATGTTATATACAATTATAACAATAAGAATGAAAATGGAAAAAGGGAAAATAGAAAAAAAAAAGAGAAGTAAAAAGTCATATATGTATGGAAATAAAACAAATGTAGCATAAAAGGAAAAGGTAATGAAAACTACAGGAGTTCACCTCTTTATGGTACTGGCTGGGGACGCCGTACTCGTGCACGTAAAAGGAAAAAGAAAAGGTTATGAAAATGGAAATGGTAAAATGGAAAAGGTTGTACCTTTGGGTACATTGTGATGGGCTCTTGTACTAATTAAATGGGAAAAGAAAATATTAAAGCTTTAAAATATTTTAAATGAAAATAATTGAATATATGTATAAATGACTGAAATGGATGAAATAAAGTTAAGAATGATAAGATACTTATTAACGATTATAATGGTATTGTAAATAAAGAATATTAATAATGTTTATTTGAAATACTTACCCGCTGAGTTTACTTACTAAACTCAAACCATGAATTTAAATGTTTCAGATAAGTCTTCAGTGATTTAAAAATGACTGAAAGAGAAGAATTCGTCTATGGTAAAATATTTGATAAAAATGATTCATTTTGACATTGTTTTAGTGGCTCTTCAATTGTTCAAAAGTTTATATCATTTTTGAAATTGGGATGAAATTGTAATACCGTCCGACTTCCAGTTCCCGCCTCGTTAAATCGAGTATCCTGGTCGGGTCGTAACAATTTCATTGATAGAAAAGTATGAAATTTAGGAACTTGGTACTTTCTTTTAGGTAGATATGGTAGACAAGATATTGGATTTCTAGGTGAGACCACCGGTTAGCTAAGAAAATTGTTCAACCTAAATGCTAAAAGACAGCTTGTAAAAGGTAAATCATTAGCATATTAACATTTAATTGTTGCACAGATTTTATCTATTTATACAAGTGAAAAAGTTTTTTCCTTAGATTTATCAAAATAATTATAAATGGGTTTCAAATTTACATTAATTTTTAATATAATTAATATTTATTATGTCATCATGTTCAACATCGGTTCAATCCCGGTTGGATCGCAGTTGGACCATCCAACCATGAACCTCTCATTCTTTCGATTTGTTGTCCGGTCCAGTTTTCACATCCTTCATTATTATTTAATTAATCAAACTTAACTCATATTAGATAATAATTTTGTAGTAAATATAATGATTTATTAAAATAACAATTATTTGTAGGTATTCAAAAGAAAAAAATCTATGATATAAAAGATATCAATAATCAAGTGATGTAAGAATATACTTAAAAATTAAGACTACACTTGTGAGATTGAAGCACTAGCTAGAGACCATGAAGCAAATGTGTGGATTGAGAGAGTGTGAAGATGAGACTTTGAGAAGTATTCTTATGAAGAAGCTTGCGAATGTGAAGATACAAGTGCCAACAAAAAGAACTGGTTAAAAATATATTAGAACTAGTTGAGTGAGCCTGAAGAGAAGAACAAATAATAAGTGACTAGATCTATAAGAGAGAACAGAGAGCCAATGAGCAAATACTTAATTACTACGAAAACAATGAGGAAAGGCAAACAATCGTGCTTAGTTATTTTTAGTAGATGTTGAATCAAACCATAAAATCTCAACCAAGACTTTCCTTTGTGATGCGAGCAAAAAATATAGGGGACCCTATATTTTTTTATCGCAAAGGAGAGACGGACTTCTTCCGACGAAAATGACTAAAGACGAGAAATAGGAAAGAACAAACTCTTACATAAATAAAACTAAAAAGAAGAAATTAAAAGACTACAAACGACGATCTAACAATCTCGAATCGAAAATCAAAGACACCCTAAAGTTGCTGCACTTGGAAGAAAGATGCAGGTGGAGTGGCACTTGCAGAGAGACGAAAGAGGTTAGAAGCCCGAGAAGAAAGGTTGGAAAGAGCCCGCAGGATTTCCGGAGGGGATGAGAAAGAAGGGTGGAAAGAGCCCGCAGGATTTCCAAAGCAAACCCGCAGGTTATAGCTTATCCAAAAATAACATTTTCATAACTTCATAACTTCATAACTATTTCAAACATTACAAGTCCCCCATATATATAGGTATGAAAGGGAATACAAAGAGACACATTACATTAATTTTAACACAAGAAACTAAGCATCAAAACATTAAAACACCTAAAAATAAATCCCAAGCCAAGAAACCGAAGAGGTAGCCGCGGGAGCCAAGGAGGCCGAGCGGGAACGCAAGGGGGCACGCCACGGAAGAGCCTCAGGCACGGGAAACCAGTTACCGGCCGGAATTCCACGGGGGCAAAATGCAATGAAACGCATGGAGGAAACCAAGAAGTCATGCAATGGGAATACAAAACAACGCTAACTCTTGGGTTCCGAAAGCCCTTTTTGGGAACCTCCAAGAGACATCATAAAAGAAGACTTTAAAAACCCTAAATAACATTTAAATAAAAAAGTAAGATAATAAATGAACAATATGTTAGTTAATAATGAGTTAACCCTTAAGTTCAATAAATGCAACTAAAAGTCCAGCTCAAATAAATGAGCTAAAATATTTCCAGCTCAAATAGTAGAGCTCAAGGGAAGCCAAATTCGTATTATTTTGGACATGAGTTGACCCCCTTTGTCTACATCAAGACTCCCCCTTCTTCGCGAATTCAGCTCCTGATGAATTGGTTGATGATTCCCTCTGAGGCGGTGGCATATTGTTCATCGAGCTCCTTGAGCTTTCACAAACTTTTAAATTTCTTCTTGCTCCTTCTCGAATTGCTGTTGTAGATATCTTTTGTACTTCTCAGAATTTTTGAACACATAGGAACATCATGATACTGAAGCTTGTACACGTCGAATCTTGAAGTGGCTACCAGTAGAATTCTTCTTCTTGTAAGGTAACCATCTGTCCAATGGGGTGGGAATCACAGGATTATGTTGATTGCTTTTTTCCATGAAATCGAAAGCCATATTTTTTGGTATTTTTCCATTTTTTTGACGAATCAAAAAAGCTCAAAATTATAAGACTCATAGAAAGACTCAACCTAAACTTAGATACTCCACAAATAAAACGCTTTGACAAACTTGACAACTATGACTTGACAACAACACATCCTAGGACTTCCTAACTTGCTCTGATACTAAAAATGATTCGAGCAAAAATATAGGGACCCTATATTTTTTTGATCGCAAAGGAGAGACGGACTTCTACGACGAAAATGACTAAAGGAGAGAAATAGGAAAGAACAAACTCTTACATAAATAAAACTAAAAAGAAGAAATTAAAAGATAACAAACGACGATCTAACAATCTCGAATCGAAAATCAAAGACACCCCTAAAGTTGTCTGCACTGGGAAGAAAGATACAGGTGGAGTGGCACTTGCGGAGAGACGAAAGAGGTTAGAAGCCCGAGAAGAAAGGTTGGAAAGAGCCCGCTGGATTTCCGGAGGGGATGAGAAAAGAAGGGTGGAAAGAGCCCGCAGGATTTCAAAGCAAACCGCAGGTTATAGCTTATCCAAAAATAACATTTTCATAACTTCATAACTATTTCAAACATTACAAGTCCCCCATATATATAGGTATGAAAAGGAATACAAAGAGACACATTACATTAATTTTTAACACAAGAAACTAAGCATCAAAACATTAAAACACCTAACAAATAAATCCCAAACCCAAGAACCGAAGTGGCAGCCGCAAGAGCCAAGGAGGCCGAGCGGGAACCAAGGGGGCACGGCCACGGAAAGAGCCCAGGCACGGGAAACCAGCAGCCGGCCGGAATCCAAGCGGGCAAATGCAATGAAACCATGGAGGAAACCAAGGAGTCATGCATGGGAATACAAAACACCTAACTTGGGATTCCAAAAGTCCTTTTTGGAACCCCAAGAGACATCATAAAAGAAGACTTTAAAACTCTAAATAACATTTAATAAAAAGTAAGATAATAAATGAACTAAAATGTTAGCTAATAATGAGCTAACCCTTAGTTCAATAAATGAACTAAAGTCCAGCTCATAAATGAGCTAAAATTTCAGCTTAAATAGTAGACTCAAGGGAAGCCAAAATTCGTATTATTTTGGACATGAGTTGACCCCCCCTTTGTCTTCATCACTTTGGATAGGAGCTGAGCCCATAGCGCTATGTCGCTATGGGACAAAGTGGCTTGCTGAACCAACGAGACGTGGTAAGGAAAGCTGGCGGGGTTGAATAGTCCCACGCGTAGGGAGTCCCAAGGGAGAGGGATTTTGCCATGACTTGCTAAACTATAGGGGTGGCTGGGTGTGAGGGAGTGTGTGTGTGAGGAGGGAAAGAAGGTTTTTTCTAGGTTATGGTTATGTTTTTTAATTTTAATTAATTATTTAAAAGAGGACAAAAATGCCCTTTTGTTGTAGCAAAACAATAGGGTACATTGTACCCAAAGATTCTAAATTCTGAAAGTTTCATTTTCTATTATATTTTAATTGATGTAAATACTAAATTTATTAGTTAAAATTAAATTTAAGTTCTATAAAAATGATTAATAGATATTTGTTTTAATTGCGTAATGATCGCTTGCTGAATTTTCATTGTTTGTTCGTGTTAAATTTCATCCTTGTCTCACATGCACGAGTGGAATTTTTGTCATTTTACTTGTGCAAGAACCCAATCAATATGGGCTTCTTTCCTTGTAATTTTGATGTTTTGGATTTGATGGTGCGGTTCATTTAGCAAATTGAGGACATTCAGGCAATTTCGCACAAATGTTGTGCTGTAGTCCATTGTTTTTACATCTTTCACTCGAATCAAAGGAAAGGATCCTTCATTAATATTTTCATCATTTCAGACACAATGGTGTGATCAGTTTCACAAATGGATGACGTCCGGACGATTTCATGCAACTTCACTTTCAGAGATCTTTTTCATCGTTGTTTAGTCAAGTTGAGTGTGAAGGGTGAGCCTTTGATAATTTTGGTGCTTTGAGCATGTCAATGCAGTTTATTTCTCAAACGGTTGATGTTTGGGTGATATTGTGTGGTGTTGGTTATGTGGAGCCAATTTAGCGTGGTCTAGAATTGATGGTTGTTATCATTGGAAGCACTTGAATTAGTCATGGAATACATATTAGTGATCAACAAATAGCTAGCCGGTAGAAATACCAAATTTTAATGAATGGAAGCTTAATATAATGACATTAGCATGGCTGTTATTATCATAATAGAGCTTATTTTAAATGATAACATATGCATCTCTAAACAAATAGGAAAATACCAAACAGCTGTTGCTTAAGAAAATGAGATATAGAATCCTAAATTTTGATATAAAGACAACTAGGGACATTAATGGCACAAATCTGATATCACAATCATGTCTGATGACTTTGTAATATCTTCTTGATGGTCCGTCAACAACTTAATCACAAGTTAATCCACTACTATTTTCATTCTGATGGCATGCATGTTTTATAATGGCGTTTTCTTCTATAGCACTGCCTGTAAGTATCATTTTGAACGGATAGTGATGGAACTGGTTGCTAGATTATAACCAAACTTTCACTGATGCATTCATAGCATTACAAACAGGTTTTTGCCTTTATTGTTGGAATAGGACATGCAAAATATTATCTTCAGTCATTGAATTTTTTTTCTGACCTAAATGGACTTAAGATATTTATATGCTTTGCAGGATATCACAAAATCTATCACGAATGAGATGTGCAAATCATTGAAAAAGAAGCGTGATTTGTTTTCTGGTCTGAAATTGAAGCAAGAAATTCTTACTTGTAAGTCTTCTATACTCTTTTTATGCAGTCATTATTACCTTAGAAGGCATGCGTGCCTGTACCTAAGAAATGAGGTTCTCTTAGAACCATAGTGTGTTTGATTTCAGAAATTATTTGGTGACTCTTTATCTATTGGTTCATCTTGTTTTTAATGAGATATCAATGGAGCTTTGGGTTACAGAGCAGGCAGCAGATTGGAAGATCATTGCAATTTTTGTTTTTTTGGGAAGGGAATGTATGGATCTGGTTTAGAGGAAAATTAAGGAGATAAGGAGAAGGAGAGGATTAGAAATTTGGATGAATGATAACCTCAAAGGAAAGGCGGCATGAGGTTAAGAGAAATAAAGCAGTGAAACTCTACCTTATAGAGGCCAAGAATCTGATTTTTTGTTTCATTTTCAATTGCAATACCAAATTATAAGAAATTATGCTATATTTTTTGAAGTAGGCTTTCAAGGATATTGAATAAATCAAAATATATGTATATCCTAATAATTCAAACCAAAAGAAAAATTTTAAATTATCCAGAAAAGATAATTTATGCTAATTTGACATAAAAGGAATCTAAGAAATTAAAATAATTCCTAATAAAATAAAATAAAATTATATACTTGCTAAGACATTCCAAATTTATTTCTTGTGTTTACGTTAATTTCCCTTGGCTATAAAAACTTTATTTTTGGAGATGAAATATTGCTTGAGGAAAAATTGAAGGTCTTTGATTCTACAGTAGAGCTAGTGACATCTATCTCAAAGTAGAGAGGAATAGATAAAAGGTGTAAGCATTGAAAGCACCTCACAACAGGACATATGAAATGCATTGACTTGAAGGATAGATGACACATCCCCTCCATCTGTCATGACCTGGCCTAGTGAGCTCGCATAAGCGAGGCGGGAACGGATGTCGAACATAAGTTAGAACATAACATGATAATATCATAAAACATGAATTAATAAGAATCTAAAGCAATCCAAGAGATTTAAAAATAAACGCCTCTAAAACAAAATTCATTAAACAAAATATTTCATATCAATTCAAACATGTACAAAGGTGGATAAGATTTCTTTCATGCCAACTTCCACCCAAAATCAAAATCATCCTACAACTACAAAACAACACAAGAGGAACCTGTACGACTGTAGGTGAATCAAGGTCGATTAGTCATTTCTAACAGCAGGGTCTTCTAAAAAATATCTCAAAACTAGGGAATGAGCTAACGCTCAGCAGGTATCAATTTACTCTTTCAAAATTCAAATACAACGTAAGAAGAAACAATATGCATGCTTGACTTGTACTTCAAAAAATTTAAACAATAGAATATCATACAAAGTAGTCATGTACTATCTAGATGCTTTTCTTATGTGTAATATTTCCTTTAGTGACATATGTTATGTATCATATGCTTATCATTTCATGTCATGCCTATCAATGACATGCCTTTCATCAATAAACTTAGTATCTTATTCGTATCATATACACCCGTACGGGAGTACCGAATTTTGTACTGATCAGGTACACATATTTAATGACCATATCATTTTTCTTTCTTCCCTTTTTTTTTATATTGCCCCAAATGGCCATATTTGCTCCAGAGAGTCATATTGAGCTAAGATATCATATTGGTACTCCGCTTCAACATGCACAAGTCTACGTACACTATCTATTTTAGGATAGGTAATTAACATAGCTAACATTCATACATATGTTTCTAACATTTTTTATTCTTATGTAAGGCAAAATGTATAACTTTCAAGTATCCTAACAAAACAATTCAATAACACCTGTATGACTTATGATATGAAATGCTACATATCAACATAATTTAAGTAATCTAGCATTGGTATAGTTTTATACTAATTCATTCAACATAAAATTTATATGCTTCTAAAAGGTTTATATACTTAAACATATAATGCATTTAATTTTTAGAAAAGCATAAAAGACTATTGAATTTTGGAGAGTCCATTGTACCTACCTCAAGCAAACAAATTCTTGAAACCATCATCTCACCTCACACTGGTCTCTCCTTACAATTTCCCCTTTTTAAGACCTATGAAAAAAATTGATTATTAGTCCGTAAGGTTTATAGCTCTTACTCCTAAATTTGAATATCATTAGTCCCTAATCCTAATAAAATGTCATGTATGCGTTACAACATATAAGATAAGTCATAAATTCAATATAAACTTTACCTAACATAGATCCTAATTAAAATTAATCATTAATCAATCCTAATTGTTAATTACTTTATTATTAACCCATAATTTAATGTATTTTATCATCCCTTTCTTAATTAAGATAAATTTAAATGTTATTGTTGGATTTACCTAAAACCTCAATTTTGGAAATAGTATTTTTCATAATTTTCACTCCTTTTTCATGCTAAAACCTCTTATATACCTAACCCATAATTAGGATGTAATTATTTTTGCATTTCTTTAAATAAACATTCAGAAAAATAGCAATCTCACTAAACCCAAAGATTTTTCTCCATAAACTTTGTCCTAGAGTTATTTATAACCTCATTTATGAAAGCATTTTCAAAGAAATCAAGATCTGGAAAAAGCACTAGTTTTAGGATCCTCAAAATTTTTAGAAATACTCAAAATTAGGGTTTAAAATTCATTAAGAAAACTACCTACACACTTTCTTTAACCAAATTCTTGATTTCAAAAACCCTAAAATTTTAATCCTAAAAAATCTTGGAGGAAAGACAATTTCTAAGGTTTAAAGTTTACCTTTTATCTTATTGAGCTTTCCCTTCGATTTCACCTCTAAACCGCCGCCGGAAAACACGCCGGCCGCCGCTCTCCAAGCCCAAGCCCTCCCCCCTTTCTTCCGCTCTCTCCCGTTCTCTCCCTTGCTCGGCCGAACAAAACAACAAGAGACCAACTATTTCGGTCCCTTAGAGTTTAAGGGTGTTGGGTAAGAGAAATGACGCATGTGCTCTTCAAGCCTAAAATTTTCTTAAGGCTTATGGGGGATAAAATGGGCATAATGGCTAAATTTTACTTAAATGTGTATCGAAGATGTTTAGTTTTAAAATCGTGCGAAATTAGGTATAGGTTCTTTGTACCGTTTCGATCGAAATTTTGCGTAGAATTTTATAAAATTTATTGCGTCAATTTCTACGACGTGAAAATTTCACATAATTTCATTACGATGCATCGAAATGCATACTAAGCATACTATCGACAATTTTCGGGTTTTATAACTGAAGGTTGTATGAAAGAAATCTTATCCACCTTTGTACATGTTTGAATTGATATGAAATGTTTTGTTTAATGAATTTTTTTTAGAGGCGCTTATTTATATATCTCTTGGATTATTTTAGTTTCTTATTAATTCATGTTTTATGATATTGTCATGTTCTGTTCTAACTTATCTCCGACATCCTTTCCCGCCTCGTTTATGTGAGTTTATTGGGCCGGGTTGTGTCAAGAGGGGTATCAGAGCCCAAGTTTAGGATATGGATCAGAGTAGAGCGCCATTAGGATGATTTATGAATCTTAGAAATTTTAGGATGTATGGTTATACGACGATTATTGAGTTGGAAATTTTTTTATTTGGTTTAGGGCTATGGATTAGGAGTACGATGCCACTGATGGCAACACAAATAGGATCAATGAACAGGTTGGAAGAGAAGTTCCAGCGGTATCATCTATGGTATAACCTCCTGGTGGTAGCAAAAGTACTGCCATAGACACCTTTACACAGATGATGGCGGCTGTGATGCAGTTAATTCAACATTCTCAAGATCAGCCTCAGTCTAGTTCCAGGAGAGAGTCATCTGTAGACAAGTATCTGAAAATCTTTCAGGACATGCGACCACCTCTCTTTATGGGAGTAGTAGAGCCAGTTGATGTTAAAAATTGGCTTATGAAGATCGAGAAGATTTTGGAAGGTATGTATTGTCCGACTGATCGGAGGGTGACTTTAGCCACCTTTGCATTGGATGGTGAAGCTGAAAGATGGTGGAGAGGACAACTGTTGGCGAAATTTGGTGGTAGAGCAACATCTCAGATTTTATGGGAGGATTTTATTAGTCTTCAGAGACTGGTTTTTGTCTCTTTCTACGAGGAGGCAGATGTATGATCGATTCATTCGGTTAGTACAAGGAGATCGTGAAAGTTTGTTAGGGATGTTAGGCCCCTTATGAACTGGCCAAAGGCTAATTAAGAGAGGTGAATTTGTATTTTAAATATCTTTAAAACAAAACTCAAATCAAACCAAAATTCACCACAAATAAATCAACGTGTGGAAAAATAAATGCGAAAATCAAAACAAAGAAAGAACACGCCAGATTTATAGTGGTTCGGTCAAACCTTGACCTACGTCCACTCCTCGGAGGCACCTTCCGAGTATTGCACTAAACTAAGTGTTTCTCATTTAGCCCCGACAGCTTGGCGGAGAAGCCCTTACAAAATCACTTCCACCTTCCCCGGTGCGGCGGAATCGCTGGATCCTTTGACACCAAAGAGATATTCTTCTGTGAACTTCCCTCAAGACAAGCCTTGAATCCGACGGTACTAAGGTGTAAGCTTGTCGGAGCAACCGTGTGGAATCCCCCTCCACACTCCCTTGAGTCCCCCCTCACAGGATCTTCTCCCTCTCTCAAACTTCACCTTTTCCTCATTCCCTTTCATGCTCTCTTCAAATTTCCCTAAAAAGAACGAAGCTACAATGGATGCCAAAGACACTTACAAAAGGTGCCTTGTCAAAAGCTTAAATAGAATATCTCAAAACGATCTCATTAATGCAACTTGCCGACTTTATCGTCCTGGCCGATCAGTACAAAATAAGCTCAATCAGCCAGGACGATTTGGGATGATCAGATGAAAATTGGTTACATAGTTTAGGCCGATACAATATCGTCCTGGCCGATTAGTTCAAATCCGAGTACAATCGTCCTGAACATAGTCCGGAATAGAGTCTGGCCGATGTTAATCGTCCAGGACATCGTCCAGGACATCGTCCCGGCCGATGTGATCGTATCAAT